CTGCAACGTAACTACGTAGGCTAGAATTTAATCTACGGTACAAATTGAGTAGGTACAATGTAGGGGGTTATCTAAATGAAGGTGAGGCTCGTAGCCTAGTAGTTTTTTAGTGAGTAACTCTCTCAGATCTTTCACTTTAAATGAGTCTTCCTCTCAAGTTTTAACGAGTAACTCTCTCAGTCGAATAGGTAGTTTAATGAGTAACTCTCTCATGTGGGTGGACCATAAATATGGTTGTGAGGGGAGAAGGATTCGAACCTTCGATCTTTGCTGACGTGAAACAGCAGAAAATTTTCCAGGCGCTCCACCACTGCGCCATCCCCCCGCGTCGAGTGTGTTGTCATGGCGTGATTTGGTGTTGGCCATGGCTCTGGCGGTAAGACGCTTGTGACGCCAGGGTCGAAGCTATATTCTATAGACGGCTGGACATCTTCATACCATGTCTGCGGGCATGCGTGGTAGTCTGCATAGTGGATCCTAGGCATGGGCTCGTGAAGGAACATTGGTTCGGGTGTAGGCGGTGATAAGCGATCTGAATGCGAGAGTGTGCTGTTTGACGTAGTCTGTTTGAAACTGGCTAGGCTGGTTTCGGGACTGTCACAGTACGAGTGGCTCTCGTCAATAATGTATGCCGCGTGTGTTGGAAGCGGAGTGAGCATGGGATATCCTGATAGAGCCAGGGTTTGATGGTCCGTCCTAGCAGCGTTGTAACTGTCGTAGGACATGCTGCGTCTATATTCGTCTTCCTCCAGAGATGGAAAGTTCGCAGGCGAGGCTGATTGACCGGCGTGAGAGAGAGAACCCATGGAGTGATATCTCTTTGGTGGTACACATCTTCTTTTAATGCTTGATCGATTATTGTCGGAGGTGCGACGAGTCGATCTCGGCTCACACTTGATGCCTTTGGCGAGGCAGCGAGAACATGATGGTAACTATATTCAACGTCAGCATTTCTGTATGCATGTGTCCCGTGAATACTCACTGCCCTGTTACACTTGGTCTTGGCCTTGGCGCAAGTAACACATGAGATTGCTCTCTTTGAAGGTGTTCTAGCATACGGATTTTGTGGCCGAGACTCAGTGTAGGGTGAACTGTATGGAGTACTGGAAGGCTCAGGATCCATCATTTCCAATCGATAGTCAGTGCGAGACTATGACAGTGGGCTCAATCGCTATACAAGATAGAGCAATACCGTATGTATGTGGAGTAGAGACAGATATGGATCCAGGATAGGCTAGTGAATGATTTTTATCTCATCCATGGTCGGGAAGCGCAGTGTGATATACTAGTCCAAGTCTACAGCTGGGTTTGATCTTCAAGGGCGACATCCATAGCTGACTGGTCAGTCTACGGCAAGAAGCGAGAAGAACTAATGATAGAAGCAGTGTATCTACATTTCGCCAGGATGAAACATTGTAGACAGTCCGCCTTAGTGCCGATGAGGCGTTGTTTACGCTCCTAGGATTAAGGCCGAGACCGAGCCCCCAGAAGTTCCCCGTTAGACATCGCCCCTGAGTATGGTTAGGTGGGACGCCACGGTGGAACCACATGGAACAAGTAGTTATGGTAGGCTGTGTTCCAGAAGGTGTGGTGACAGGGGGTGTAGGTGCTGACGAGAACCGGGTTGCTGGGTCTCTGCATCTCCATGATGACAGTCAGTACGCAAGCCGCAAGGTGGCTGGTATCCTATGTAGAAATCCCGATGGTAAGGTAATTGCATACTCCGGAGCATTGCTCTTCATGCATGTGGCGAGGCAACGCACTTCGTTGCCGTTCCATATAGTATTAATTAAATGTATCACAAAATAAGGTGTCAAGTCGAGTGAAGACTAACAATGCACATAAAATGTGGCAGCTTGCGATAGAATCGAGTGGTACTTACCCAGTACGGCGGACTCTGTCAGCAGAGCCACGTTGTTGTAGACCGTTCTGTAGGCCAAGAGCATCACGAATAGATCTGGAAAATTGGGGCCAAATCCTCAGCGGGAGGCTTTGCAGTGCACACCCTAATGCAGATATCGTAAGTCCATGGAGGGAGGAGACGGACCATAACGGTGGCGGCTTGGGGTGAGGTTCGGGTTGTGAGACCCCTGCTTCGGAGCTGCATCTTGGGCGGGGCTATGGCGAGCTGACATTGCTTGATGTCATTGGCTGCAGCTGACCTCGATTGTGGGCATGGGCGGACTCGACCGGGGCTGATGGAGGTGGCGGAAGTGACGATGCTCATTAATCGGTCGACGTCGTGCTTGGCTGGTCATGGCCGTGGAGTGGAGTGGGGACGCCAGTCCCGTGATTTCGAAGCCGCTTGCCTGGATTTGATTGAATCGGGTGCAGGACGGCCGAACAGCTTTTTAACAGTTTTGTGAGCCACTTCAACTCTTGAGCATAGAACGAATATTCGTGTTCATATTGGTTGGTAGAGTTTGACAAGGGGCCAAACTCGGAGTGAATTGTTCCGCCAGCCCTGAATTGCCATGCACCATGTACGTAATCAGACATGCGCTATAGAGCAGAGAATTGGCCCTGGTGCATTGAATTTCAAGTAGCTTGGGCTGCCTGATCCAATTTTAGTATAGTCTGAGCGGAGTCGATTAAAGATAGAATGATCCGTACGATCAACAACTGGTGATGTACGTTGAGAAGATAGTGTCAACCACCGACCAGAAAGGCAAGGCTGCAAAGCCCCAGAGGTAACTAGTACTCAAATCGCTGGGCTGGTAGGTATCTGAGCTCAAGCTTGACGTTGACTAACATGGGGCGGTTATGTATAAGCAAAACTTCGGTCGAGATGGTCCTCGTTATGGGGCCATGGCTTGGCTAGCACTCTTTTCTGGTAAGAGGTAGGACTAGTTCGGGACCCTGGACTCTTTTCTTGCCCATAATTAGCATCTCAGATCCCGATGAGGACAAGGCCGTCGAAGCAACGGGGATGGAAGACATGTTGCCAAGACGAACAACCCAGGTACGGCGTTTGTTTTTCTAATCATGGCAGGCATATTTTACCATATATCAGAGGGTTGATCAGCCATTTCGAGAGAGCTATGGCAGGAAGAGACTTTTGGTTGACCGATGCCTGTGTGTATTGGATGACTGAGTGTCACGTGGCAGCTATGCTCGTTTCGGCTCGGCATTGTATATCGGGGATACCAAACGTCTCGTTTACGGCGACCAGCGAGGGGCCAAAACTGTATGTAGGATTATTAGTTCAAGATGGTGCGCAAGGTAAAGTACAGGTTTTTCCTCGAAGACGGGATAGTTGTAGAGTATCTGTATGTGCAACCAGCAGGCGGGCAAGGGCAACGACGACGCACTAATCCGCTTATGGCTTAGGCTATCGCGTATCTGCATCGCGCCTGCAGTGCATCGATTGCTAGTGGGGCACGACGACCCATGTGTCATCCAACCCTTTGTCAAGATATTATTTTACCCTGGGAGCCATGCATATCGTGAGCCAGCATGAAAGCGTGCAGCTTGATCCTGCCAGATTCTTGGTGGAAGCCGAGCATCCAGAGGCTTCGGCTACCCCACCTGGGCTGCTCATCCTGAACCAGCCAATAGCGCATTTTACGGCTTTCTCACATCTCTGGAAGCATTCGGCCTATCGTGTATGCGCAGACGGCGGTGCAAACAGACTTTTTGACATGTTCCAGGGAGACCTCGAAGAGCAGCGTGAGCGGTATGTGAGTAGAAGCGGAGACTGGAGTCCTATACATGCCTGACACGGACAGTTACCAGACATAGTCCACGGAGACCTTGACTCGTTGCGCGATGACGTGCGTGACTATTACCAGAGTCAAGGTGTTTTGGTCTCACGAGACGGCGACCAGGACAGCACGGATTTTGGAAAATGTATGCAGAAGCTCTCAGCACGCGTGTCGTCGTCCAGTGTGCGAGACGTCCTGGTCCTTGGTACATTGGGTGGACGGGTAGACCAAGGGCTGGGACTGCTGCATGAGATGATGCGAGAGGAGACCAAGCACCCCAATCTCCGCCTGTGGCTATTTTCGGAATGCAGTCTGTCGCTTATCTTGAGGGCCAGACAAACGGTTCTGACGGGGCTGCAGAAGAGCCGCGTCTTCACCGAGAACGTGGGACTGGTTCCAATATATGGACCGGCCGTCATCTCGACCCAGGGGCTGGAATGGGATGTCAAGCAATGGGCCACGCACATGGGCGGGCAGGTCAGCACGAGCAACCATGTGAAAGCGGACAGCGTGCGGGTCGAGACGGACGCGCCCATACTCTTCACCATTGAGCGGGCGTCTTTGAATACACGGTAGCATGGCCGTGGCTGGGTGATTGGATAAGCAGCCGGAGCGGGGGGTGTGCAACGAGTTGCTGGAGCGAGGCTCGCAGACATGTATGTAGCGCTGTGTCCAGGTATGCTTTCTCTGTGTAACGTGTCTGCAATCTGCCGTGATACGTGTTAGCAGGGCATGTAGATGAGCAGTTGCACGAGGGCGCCGGCCTTGCCATGGAAAGTGATACCCCCCCTCCTTCGCGTAAAACGATAAAATCATCCATCATCGCCGCCCTGACGCCGTGACGGATGGGGAAAGCAGAAAGGACACACGGCGACAGGCAACGCGAGCCTCTCTCCTACCTTCGCGCCCAGCTGCCGCCAGCTACCGCCGTTTGTCCATTACAGTGCAGGAAACAGTGATTGGCTGCCTGCACGGGGTCGCCTCGCCTTCACTCTCACACGGCCGCTGTCAATCCTGTCCCCCACTCGACGCGCTCTGCAGGCCAACATCGCTACCCACTGTCGTTACTGCTCGGCTTTTTGGAAGTCTGTTTTCTCCTTGTCTCGAGTCCCACAGCCATTTTCTGCTCGGTGGATCCCCACTTTCTTTACTGCCCATTGGTACAAGCGCTCTCTACACCCGACGCTCCCCCGGTATCACAGCGTCAGAGCCCCCCACCCGTTAATTGCCTTTGCACCACGACGGCGTCTGTCGCTGTCGCTGTCGCTGTCACTCGTCTGCAGTCCTGTCTCCTTTTCTTTCTCACCCAAGATACGTCCGGCCCATCTAGCGATATAGACACGGAGACGACGCCCACCGCAGTCGGCGCGAACTGCACTACGTGGGCGAATTGTGGAGTACAAAGAACAGTCTCAGACGCCATTCACTCGCTAACCGCCCCAGGAAGGGAACTATGGCATCCATTCGAAGGGTTGATTCCTACGCCTCGTCCGAATCCGTCCTTGGCCACCCAGAACCGAACAGTGAGCAGCCCAGGCGGCCGTCGTCGAGTGAATGTGTGGGCAAGGAGGCTACCTCCTATGAGCGCAGCAAGGAAAGAGCGTCAAGAGAAGCAAGGGCACCTGAAGAGTCGGACGGCCTCCAGAGCAGCTCGTCATCGGCAGAGCGCTCATCGTCGCCTCTGCCCTTTGCTCCCCTAGTACCATCGCCGCTCAATCCCGCTAGATCTATATCAGCAAGCCATGGCGGCTCACCGGGAAGTCGAGCACTCTTGGGCAATGACACGCAGGCGAAGAATGGTCGCATGCAACCAGCCAGAGGACGCACTCACCTAATGCTTCCACCCCGTCCGCATCTGCGAACGCGAGCGGCAAGCACGCCCGACCTGCATGACCAGACTGCGCGCCCTCCTGCGCCGCCACTGACTCTGAACGACCTGGGTACCGACTACACTCGCTACTTTAGTCCTTTTTCAGACAGCGCCAGCACCCGCAGTCGCAGTCGGCGAAACTCTTTGTCGGAAAAGCGCTCTCAAGTCAAACTCGCCGTCAGTCCGCGCACAACCACCCCTCCGCCAGGACTGCCGCCCATAAACCCCTTTCTCACACCCACTGCGTCTACAACGGGACATAATGAAGGAGCGCATGGTGTGTATGATGTTGAGAGAAATGCGTCTTTTGTCGATGACCGCTTGACCGCGCCATATGAAGAAAAGGGAATGGCATCGTGGCCGCTGATATGCGATGAAGACGAAGCAGACGATGAAATGCACATGCCCCGCGACGACGACGATATTCGCTTCCGACCAAAGATACGCGATCATTTTACAAAAGATGGCATCGTTTCCACCATTGGATTGGCTCTGATGATGTCTGGGTTAATGTTCATTTTCGTCGGGCTTCCTGTGCTCTCGGCCGTAGGTGTCATTGATTACAACTCGGCGTATGGCATGCCGCTCAGCATGTTCCCGAACCCTTGGAGGCCTCACGACTGGGCTACGGTCAACAACAAGAACTATCCACTGCTGGAGAATATAAGGAGAGGCCTGATCGATCCCGACACGCCCAAGGCTGCAAAGACAAGAAAGGGCGAATTCGGTGACGACTATGTACTTGTGTTCAGTGACGAGTTCAACGACGATGGCCGCACGTTTTATGAAGGGGATGATGCGTACTTCTTCGCGCCCGACATCTGGTACGGCGCCACCCAAGACATGGAGTGGTATGATCCCGATGCTGTGACGACACGCAACGGTTCGCTTCAGCTGCGCTTGGAGGAATTCTTTAACCACAACGTCAAGTTTCGATCGGGCATGTTGAATAGTTGGAATCAGTTGTGCTTCAAAGGCGGTATCTTTGAGGTTTCCGTATCTTTGCCAGGGCCAGCCGGCGTTCAAGGGCTGTGGCCCGGTGCGTGGACAATGGGAAATCTTGGTCGACCAGGCTATCTAAGTACGACCGACGGGTTGTGGCCCTATACCTACCAAGCCTGCGATGTGGGAATCACGCCCAACCAGTCTAGTCCCGACGGCTTGTCTCATTTGCCTGGGCAACGACTCTCCTCATGCACCTGTCCGGGCGAAGACCATCCAACGCCTGGGATCGGAAGGGGCGCGCCAGAAATCGACATTATCGAGGTTGGAGCTTTCTCAGGTTATCCTGGACCACAAGGGCTGCCCATTGCAACGCAGAGTTATCAGGTTGCTCCGTTCGACATCAACTACTACCCGAATTACAACTTCACCGCATTTCCGGATCTGCGTCTGAGTGGATTGAACACCTACACCGGCGGGCCATTCCAGCAAGCCATTTCAGCGACTACGGTGCTAAACAGAAACTGGTACGACAACAAGCAGTATCAACGATTCTCTTTCGAGTACGTACCCGGAGAAGGCAAAGACGCCTATATATCGTGGACAGTAGGCAGTCAGACAATGTTTTTCATGGATGGCCGCGCAATAGGAGCAAATGGAAACATTCAAGCCCGGCAGATATCCGAGGAGCCCATGTCGCTCATTCTGAATCTGGGCTTCAGTAATTCCTGGACATGGGTTGACTGGAAGAACCTCAAGTTCCCAACAACCATGTACGTCGACTACGTGAGATGGTACCAGAAGAAGGGCGAGAAGATGGTGACATGCGATCCCCCGGGCTTCGAAACGACCAAGTATATCGAGAAGCATCCCAAAGCCTACAGAAACCCCAATCTTACTGTACAATACACCCCCCGCCTCCACCACATGCAGAGACAGCTGGCTAACGGGTACCAGATGTGGGACCAAACCGGCTACGGCTGGCCAAAACACAAACTCAACACCAAATGTTGAAGCTCAGCACCCTGCATAATTACAAATACGTCCATGAACTAGGATTCCGTATACCCGAGTACCCTCCGCATTTACGATCAGCAACACGCCTCGACAACATGGAACCCTCGAACCCAATCGCTACACTCCCTGTCATCACGGTATTGTGATACATGAATACTCCCCACAGGGCTACTTACTTACCCGTCGGGTTCCCTCAGATGCGCGGCGCATACACCGTTTTTTGGTAAAGGCACAAAGCGGGTAAGGGGTATTCGGGAAGGGGGTGGGGGGGTTTGGAGGAGACAGGCATATAACATATATATGTCCAAGTAAAAAATTGATTCGAAAAAAAAGAAAGCAAACTGTACATTGAAATCACTCGGGGTGCCAGGTCCATGTTTAGGCTGCATGTGTGTGTGTGTGTGTGGTTTTCATTGCATAGGAGAGGGCTATGAATAAGTACTCCCTTTTCTTTTCTCCCTGTTTTTTTATTTATTGAAGGGGGCAGCATCAATAGCAATTGGTAGATTTATATTTGCGCAACGGTTACAGCAACGGTGGTACGTGTGAGTAAAGTAATAAATGTATACTTAGATAGTTTACCTTTTTTTTCTTTTTGCTTGCAATCACACGGCAAACGAGGTTTTACCTTGGTGTACTGTATCTATGACACTGCATTTTTTTATTTTTATTTTTATTGTTCATGTCCCGTCGGCGGATATACTGTATGCAGTTCGCTGCTGATGAATAGAATAGCTTGCTATATATAGTCTGGAGTAGAGAGTAGAGAGAGCAGGTAGAAGAAGTGATGATGGAGTATCCAGTGTGCAAGTGTGTGTGTGTTGGGGGGGGGGTGCATATATTCGCAAACAAAAGGGTTGGGGCTAAAGTGAGCTGACCAAGTGTGTAAGTAAGCACATGCCAATCACAGCTCATTCGATGCAAATCATCTTATTTATTGGTATCTACATGTGATCCCTTGAATCCGAACATGATGCATCGAAACCCATCAAGAGTGCAGTCGAGTCTGGATCAACGGCGGTCAAAGCAAATAGTCAAGCAAAAAGTCAAGCACAGCATACGTGCAAAGCCTACAAAAAGTACAATGCACGCGCTTATGCGACACTGCCACTGCTAAAGACTTTCCCGAATGCATCGCCTTCTTCCATGCTGAGCCCCTCATCCAGAATGTCATGCGCCATATTGACAACTTCGTCTTCGATTCCAGCTTCCAATACTAATCCCTCGCTAAAAGCCAACCGCGTCAGTGCAACCAAATATGCATGCTGGCCGCCCAGCGTGTTGACCAACTTGCTCTTGATGTCAAAATTGGCATTAGTTGTGGCTACGTGATAGATGAGCTTCATCGTCGCGTTGATGGAATCCACCTTGTGCTCCTGGGTTGGTGCGATTGGGTGTCGATAGAGGCTGGTTATGCAATGGTCGAGATATTTAATCAGTCGGCCTATGCATAGTCGGTTCTGTGCCAAGCGACTGGAACCGTACTCAGGGATGGAAAACTGGGTGAGTACTGAGAGAACGAGGAGACGCAGATCCCATAGGTCAGGCTCTGGGATTGCTGACGCAGATTTGGGCGACGCAGAAGGGTCTGGTACGGGCTTGGGTATCTCGGTGAAGAGATTGGTGAGCCGATTGATCAGAGCATCTTCGTTGTTTGCCTGACTTTCTGCAGTCGAGTCGGCTGTTGTGATAGGCCCGACCGAGGTGGCGAGTGCAGAGGTGCCAAGTATGCGTAACATGAGCGATATTTGCTCCTGTGGTTGCTCCTTGACTAGCAACATGATGGCGAAACTTGAGGGTATCGCTTGCCACAGGCGGACTATGGCGTCTGCATCCGGCGAAGATGCACAGCTGCTTGCTACTAGGTACAGCAGCTCAAGACAGTCTTCAACATCAATGCAGGCAGCGATTTCGCGCTGTCTTGGTGAGTAGAGATCTGCAATTGCCTTGTCTCCGCCCTTGGCGGCTTTGGAGATGGGGTCAGCCACAAGATCGACAAAAGCAATTATGAGGGGCACAACGCGTTCGGAGATTTTGACTGCAGTCTCAGCTGGCTCGCATGCAAGGACAAAGTGCAGGGCGTCGAGGATGAGCGAGGTGGGAGCGTAGTACTTTTCATTCTGACAACGTTTCCAGAGGTCGAGAAAGACATGACAGATATGCAGAGCCAGCTCATGAACATCGTCTGCAGCCATCTTTGCTAGTGCGTCGTACACAATGGACGACAGTTTCTTGGTCGGCTTGGAGGGGAATGCATGCTTAGTCAGTGCCTCGAGTATACGGTCCGTGTCACTGGAAGACGGGTGAGAGAGCAGGCGGTGCAAAAGGGCAAACCGACGGTCGTCGCGACGAAAGTACTGCAGCAGTGCAGCGTCTATCCTCGCTTCAGCAACGGGCGGCAGCTCCTGCTCTTTCGGCCGGCTTCGCGGCCCACTCAGCTGTAGCGCAGGGAGTGGCAGCGGGCTCTGGTCAATAGCCTGACGCTTCCGCTTCCCGGCGTGTTTTGGCGTCGCGGTCTTGGGCCTGTCGCGCTGCTTGGATGGCGACGCCATTACCACATCGTCGTCGTCGAAACCGTCTCCTAGCGGTGCTCTTGTCTTTTGCCCCCTCTTGGGCGTACCCGCTGGGCTGACGGCTGGGACAGCCGACTTGGGTCGTGAGGGCACAACTCTCGCTGTGCGTCGTGCCATGCCGGCCTCTCGGGCTTCGTGCTGGTTGAACATGCTGTCTGTCTGCGCTGACTCGGCCTCGCGACGCAGCCTGTCCATTTCAGCGCGCAGCCTCGCCAGCTCGGAGCCATGCGACTGCTGCTGGTCGGCCAGCTGGCGCTCGTATCGTCGGGCTTCGGCATCGTGGCGTCTCCTCAGGGTGTCTGCTTCTCCAGACTTGGTCTGCAGCTGGCCCTTGAGCTCGTCGGTCTCCCTCCGCTGGCGCGCCTTGTCTTGCTCTAACTGCTATCGTCAGCGGACGGGGGCGGCGTCGCGGTGGTGCAGCGCGTCTATCGCACCTTCTTGATGCGCTGAAGCAGCAGGTGGGGGTCGGGCTGCGAGGGGCGCGGCGGCTGTTGCACATACAAGTGGCTGTGGTAGAGCTCGACGTCGGCATCGGCATCGGCATCCGTGTCGGCAATGGTGGTGGTGTTGGTGTTGGGTTCGGTGGCGAGGGTGCCGTCGGCGCCATCATCAAGGCCCGGTCCGTAGCCATAGTCGTAGTGTTGCGGGGGCTGCGTCTGGTGGTGAGGGGCGTCGTCCAGGTTGACTACCTCTTCGCCGTCGTCGTCGAGGCCATAGTCGGACTCGGGCGCGGGCGGACGCGCGTGGTGCTGCTGGTGTGGCTGGTGGTACTGCTGGTGCTGGGTGGCGCGGAGGGCGCTGGCTTCGAGGTGCTGCAGCGTGTTGGCGGGGAGGTCGTCAAAGTCGTCGTCGGAGAAGCCAAAGTCGTCGTCGGCCATTGTCGCTTCATCGGCCGGCGCGGGGCTGCGAGTGCATGTCCCAATGCAGCGCTAGAGCGGCGACGAGGGGAGGGCGCGACGCGTTGTTTGCGTGTGCGTGTGCGTGTGCGTGTGGATGTTGGTGTTGGAGCTGGGGGGGGGGGGGCGGCACATTCACATGCGGGCGGAGGCGCCATGACGTCTGCCCGTCGAGACTTGTCCGCCGCAATTTCACAGCCTGCTCGCCTGCGCCAAAGCCTCTCCCCATAATAGTAGGCCAGCACAGCGCGTGCGCTCCACTACCACCACCACCAACACCCCGCCGTCGCCTTCCTTTGCGGCTCCGACTTGACCACCACCACCACGGCCATCCCCATCACCGCTGCGAGTGTCGCATCCGCTGCATCGCGCCGCCCGAGCAGCCGTCCGAGCATAGACTGTAGCCTTGCGCCCGCACACAGCTGCACTGCAAGTTTCCTGCACAGCCGCCGCCGCCGTCTGCCTGCTGCCTCCACCATGGCGCGGCCACGAAAGGACGTCAAGTTCCAGCATCAGACGCGCAGCGCCAGCAATGGCCGCACACGGAGGCTCTCGCAGAGCATCTCCGAGTTCAGCGACCCCGGAAGTCCCACCATCAAAGAGGAGGCTGCTCCCCCAGTATGATGCTGCCCCCCTCCCCCCCCTCCTCTGTCTCGCTGTGCCCACCACCGCCGCCCGCTCCGCATGCTGACCAGCCCAGGCCTCGGAACAAGCGCCCCAGACCGACTACGAGAAGAAAAAGGCAAACTTCATCACGCGCACAACATGGACTCTCGTCATGATTGGCATCTTCTTCTGGGCCCTCGGCGCCGGCCACCTGTTCATCATCATCATCGTCACGGCAGTCCAGGTCATATGCTTCAAGGAGGTCATTGCAATCGCAAACGTGCCCAGCAAGGCCCGCAGCCTGCGCTTCACAAAGTCGCTCAACTGGTACTTTCTCGGCACCACCATGTACTTTTTGTACGGCGAGAGCGTCATCTATTACTTCAAGCACATTCTCATGGTGGACCGGCTGCTGCTGCCCCTGGCGACCCACCACCGCTTCATCTCCTTCATGCTGTACATTATTGGTGCGCTGCCTGCAACACTCGTGTCTCGCCAAGCTGACCCTCGCAGGCTTCATCTTCTTTGTCTTCTCGCTGCAAAAGGGCCACTACAAGTTCCAGTTTACCCAATTTGCATGGACCCACATGGCCCTTTTTCTCATTGTCGGCCAGGCGCACTTTGTCATCAACAACATTTTCGAAGGCTACATCTGGTTCATCCTGCCCGCGTCCATGGTCATTACCAATGACATTTTCGCCTATCTCTGCGGAATTACCTTTGGCAGGACCCCCCTTATCCAGATCTCGCCCAAGAAGACGTGGGAGGGGTTCCTCGGCGCATGGTTCTTCACCGTCCTCTGGGGCATCGGTGTCACGCACGTTGTGGCGCAGTACAAGTACTTCATCTGCCCCGTCAACGACCTGGGCGCAAACATCTGGTCCGGGCTCGAGTGCAGACCCAACCCCGTCTTCGTTGCGCGCGACTATGAAATCCCCTTTATTCCCGAGGGCCTTCCCATCCCGCGTACCTTTAACATCATGCCCGTGCAGTTCCATGTCATCATGCTTGGGACCTTTGCCTCGCTGGTTGCGCCCTTTGGTGGTTTCTTCGCGTCTGGCCTGAAGCGCACATTCAAGATCAAGGACTTTGGCGACTCGATTCCCGGACACGGCGGCATGACGGACCGCATGGACTGTCAGTTCATCATGGGATCCATTGCCTTCTTCTACTACTCGAGTTTTATTGCAGTGCACCACACGACTGTTGGCGGCGTGATTGAGTCGGCCATCACCGGCCTTACCTACGAGGAGCAAATGGAGGTGGTCAAGATCCTCAGCAAGCACTTGGTCAACCAGGAAATAATATCACCAAAGGTACGCCTCTCGTGTCTCGGCAAAGGCCCATTTTGTGCGCTACTGACTGTTGCAGGTGCTTGAACTTCTTTCTCAACAAATGGTGCGGAGGTGAAAATGTACGGACTGAATTTGGTAATCTAGCTTTTTCTTCATCCAACAGGGGTTTCGAGGGGAAATTGTGTTGCTGCAGAGGAGATGCAGCCGGATTTCAACGGATATGACAAGCGGCACCCGCCGTGGAGGTGGGTATTGGTAATTGGGCGCATATACCCTTTGTGCAGTTTGCCGCGCGCCTGGAGCATGCGCTCTCTAGTAGCGCGCACAGTCGTGTAGCATATGAGTAATACATTGTATTCTTGTAGTAGTATCATCATAGTCAGCGGTCCCTGGTAGTAGTTAGTAGTGCGCATGTCGGACCTGCGCAACCGAGGCGTGTGCGCACGGTCCTTGGCACCTTAAGTTTCTCGGACCTCTACAGACAACGAACCAATGCATCCCATCAACGCCAATGCCACCACGCCCATTCGTCAACGACGGACTATGGCGGTGTCTCTGCCCAGGCTTCCCGCCAAGCGCAGCGACGAGGGCGACGACAGCAGGCACGGCTAGACTGCCACGGCGCAGTGCACGACCAAAAGATGGACTGACGTACCCCCGCCGCCAGTTGCGTGCCTACACCGGATCCAAGTCATGGCTTACTGCTGGCGACTCGTTTTTCTCGCAGCCCGGCAGTGCGCCGATCGGTTTCCGCCCTTTTCGAGAGCAGCCTCATCCGCCGCCTTCGTTCACTTCACGGAATAGGCTTTCGCTCACGCAGCTGCCGACGCGTATTCTCTACGAACATGTCCGCGCCGAAGGTGCCAGGGGCAATTGGACAGAGGTTATGAATATTTGCAGGGTACTGGTCAAGGATAGAGGGGAGCAGCCCAACAGGGAAATGTACACGGCCTTGCTGCACAGCTTCGTAGACTGCAAAGAGGGCACGGCGGGCAAGGTGCGCAAAGTGCTTGAAGAAATGGGCTTCTGGCACGAGCGCGATGCACTCGACTCTGAATACCCCAAGATTGAGCTGGATGGGCGTGCATGCGAGTGTGTGCTAGAGGTACTGGCAGTGCACCCCGACTACCTCCTTCGCAGCGACATTCTCGAATACATGAAGTCGCGCTGGCTGCCGCTGTCGGCTCGCGGGCAAAACTATGTCGTCGCCGGACTGTTGCGCGAGCGGCACTTTGAACAGGCATTGGACATGATGGAAGACATGGTGAAGAACAACACACGCGTGGAGAACTGGGTCTTGGACGTGGCCATGTGGATATTGCTCGAGTTCAAAGAGGTGGAAGAGGCATTCTATGTGCTGGGTCTCAAGGAGACGATGCAGAGCAAGAGCAGCGTGGCAGGCGCCGTCAGGGTGAGCGATGCGCTCTGGGGTGCATTGCTGGATGCTGCGGCGCAAAGACAGCTGGTAAGTGTGGTATCCCGGACCCACGGCTCGATGCTGATGCGGCACAGTATGGAGAGACTGCCAAAGTGTGGATGTCCCAAGTCCAGCCAGGCTACCTCAAGCCGGGCAATGGGGCGTGTATGGCTGTCCTGGCCCTCGCTTCTAAACACGGAGATATCGAACTGGCAACCGATGTGTTCCGCCTGCTTACGGATCGGGAAACCGTCTTCACAACCCACCACTACGAACTCCTTATTTCGACCCATCTCAAGGCCAATGATCTCGAGGCGGCGCTCTCCGTCGTCCTCATCATGGTCGACGCCAATTTCAAGGTGGACGCGGGAACATGCCAGCCACTGTTTGAATTTCTGAGCACCGACGGGCCTAACGGAGAGAACCAGCCGTTGACAGCTTTTGGTATGCTGCAGGACTTTGAAGCTGCGGGGCGCAGAGTACCCACCGCCGTCGTCAATGCCTGCATGCAAGCCAGTATCGTCCAGGGTCGGCTCGAAGAGGCCATCGAGATGTACAAGGCTCTCCATACCGTTTCCCATTCTGGGCCCAACACACAAACGTTCAACATTCTGTTCAAAGGATGCCATCAACGTGAACGCAAGGAACTGGCCATGTACTTGGCAAATGAGATGATCCAGCTGGGGGTAAAGCCGGATCGCATTACCTATGATCGGCTCATTCTCGTCTGTCTACGGTCGGGCGACGTGGAGGACGCTCTGCTGTACTACCAGGAGATGTCTTCTGGCGATGGCAACGAGGGCATGAAGCCCAGAAAAAGGACGTATGAAATACTGATTTATGAATGCGCGAAGCGGGGCGACGAGCGGGCTGTAGCGGTCTTGAAAGACTACAAGGCATCGGTCGAGGAGCCGCGGTTGAGTGTGGAGAAGGCAGTTGCGGAGCGGTTCGACTATGAGATGATGGCGTCTGGGGGATGGAGTCCAAAGCCGCCAGAAGGCTCTATCCGATAGCCTGGGAGATCAACACGTCAGGGCGACAACGGGGACGAGACAAACCCCGGAGATTGGTGCTGACACGGAACGGTCGGAGACAGAAACTGGCTTTTTCTCACCAGTGGCCAAACAAAGAACCGATGTGGAGACGGACATGGAGGACTGCCGATCGCAAACATGGGCCGTGCTAGCAAAACACTAGGTAAGGCGGCTAGAATCGAAAGAGTTGGGCCAAGCGATTTCTCAGCCAAGCTTCTCAAGCAATGACTAAATTCACCGGAAGACGCAGCAGAGTCTTGTGTGCTCGTTGTGCATCTGAACAGGGTGTTGTGTCCGAGGGGCGCTGACGGGGGGGGGGTGATGCCAACCTCCGACTTTTGCGTGGGGCAATATGTGGGCACGTGGGGTATCAGGAACCGGCCCCATGACAGATTCACTAATGCCAGTCAATAATCCACGAGCCGGGCTGGCGACGGACGCTGTGCAAAATGCCTCGAGCACGAGCTGCCCAGTTCCGACGACCACGACGAGGGCGCGCACGGCCGCTGTGGGGTGGTGAAGGCGCCGTTGACGTGAGCCAATCAGCGCTTGGCTTGATCAAGGTTTTCCAGCCCGCTAGCTTGCTCTTGGAAAAGCTTAAATCCTACCGCAGAGCCGCACCACCACCAGCCCCTCCGCAGCAAAACGGCACTCTTCGATGAGGCCAGACGGCATGGCAAGACAACACAGGGCTAACATGGAAGCAGGCGTTCGGC